AAATCTATAATTTATCAAACATTTTAAAGACCTTATTTTAAAGGTGATAACGGCCTCAACATCTTTTAAGACGGTATGCTGGATCAAAGTAAAACACATAACGGTTGCTTGATAATCAAGTCTTTGATGAGTTCGAAGTTCATTTTTGTGTAGTTTTGCTGCTGATAAATACTTGTTTAAGTTACTTAATTTGGATAGATTTATGAGCTTAAGTGTTTGTTGCCTTCAATAGGAAGGAGTAATTAATTGTTATGATATATACATCAATTTTGTTATTCTTTCTTAAAAACGTTAGCGAAAGATGATTCGATTGATACTAATTAAATAATTAAATATTTTTATTGATAAATTTTGATCTTAATCAATTTGTAAACTCTGTTTTTTTCTATTTATTTTTCTTAGTAACTGATACTTTTGATTTTTCATCGGGTGTTAGTCTTGACTAGTGTGTAAACTTTATTTTTTTGTGCTTATCTTTCTTAAAATAATACCAAATGCATATTTTTTTTCCTTTTTTTTTTCTTTTGTTATCCCTTTCAGATTTTTAGGGTTTTATCTAACTAATTCAGACATACTTGTGCTGCACACATGATTTTGATGAGTGAGTCTTTCAGCGAAGATATTTACATACACAAGGACTTGAATTCGAGTGCCAAACACACCTTTTGTTTAGTAACCAATACTTTTAACTTTTTATCGGTTGTTGGTCTTGATCAGTGTGTAAATTTTATTGTTTTGTACTTATCCTTTCTAAAAAAAAAATCAACGTGATTTACTTTAAAAACTTATCTTTTTTATATAGTTACTTTGGTCCTTACCTTTATCAGTGGATTAAAATATAATAATTCTATGCATTTAATATTTTTCCTATTTAGTCTATAAATATTTTTAATATGTGGTAACCAGTTTGATATCGTTTAAATAAGATTTTGAGTTTGAGTCTTTTACTCGCCAAAGTCAGATGTGTGACGCGGGTCAACCTGGATTAGTCAATGCAAAACTTTAGAACGATAGGGCAAAAAAAAATAATTGAAAAAATAAATAAATTGAAAGACTACCATGAACAAAAGAAAGTTAGAATGAAATTCAGGGACCAAGATAGGAATAATTGCAAAGCTTAGGGATTCATTTTTAAATGTATCGGGCCAAGAATAAAACGGACGACAAATTCTTTCAAACTTGAAAGAAACCATTTCAGAACCTCAAACTGAAAGATTGAAAAAGCTTCAGCACTCTCAGCTTTGATCATCTGAGTTCACTCTTCAATGTCTTCTTCTAAGAGGTAAAGTAAAGATTTGAGGCAAAGCTTTGAATTCATATGCATTTTTCATACATATACATTTCTATTAATTAATGATTGTAACATGAAAAGCTTGAAGCCAAAGCTTTGAATTCCCAGTTTTTCCTGAAATTTTTTATGTGTGATTTAATCCATGTTCTTTCTAGGTTTCGGAATGTGATATTGAGTATTGATCATGGTTTGAAGTGTTTAGAATTCTATAAACTTGCTCTTGGTTTTGGATTTCATTGCCAAGAAGCCATCTATTTTAGGGATGTTCTTGCATGGTACTAAATTGCGGTCGCGGTTTCCGCTGCGGGGTTGTGATTGCCGTTGCGGTATCGCAGTTGCGGAACTTACGATGTTACGGACATTACAGCATGGTTTGTTTCCTTAAAATAATTATGTTTTAAAATTACGGTTACGTGACCTTGATAACTGTTACGGTGTAGCGTAACACCGTGTTGCGGCCACAATTTAATACTATGTTTTCGAGGGTTTTACAGGCCAATTCTTCATTTTTTATTGGGAATCTTGATAACTTCTTAATTTGATCTCTTTTGTGGAAACTAGCATTGTGTTGTTCTTACTTGGGTGTGAATGTCGGATATTGGTGTATCCATCCCCGAGTTGGAGCGACGTAGACTAAAACAACTCGAAAAACATGGTGTCTTTGCTTGTTCACACCGACCGTGAAATGTCGAAATCATAGCTTGTATGGTTCATCACATTGGTGCTAGTAAATGCACTCGGGATGCTACTATAAGCCATATGATAAAGCTCCGAGTTTATCGAAGAGTTAACTAAACTCTTGAACTAAATCAAGAATTAAAATATTCACAGAAAAGGGATTTGTTTAGAGGAGTATCTTTTAATCTCTACCAATAATTTATGGCTAATCGAAAGGATTCGCGGTAAGAAAAAATGGATTCGAAATAGTATTGCTTGTGTTCATTTGCAAAATTGACAGCTTATCTGTCTTCTGGTAGGTCTAGAAGGAAAAATGCTGGAAATCATGAGCAAAATGTTGTTCCAAAAAAACCAGATGAGAAGTCTATCTCACCAGGAGAGAAGTCGAATGTAGCCGAAACAATAGGTCCGGCTATGATATTTCTGCCTGCTGGAACAAGCCAGGAGGAGTTGGATGCTGCATTGGCTTCTACCAAATATGGAGTAGCTTTAACTGGGGATGCGGCAACCGGAGCGTTGGGACCTGTTGTAGGGTTAGTGGACCTTTGTGAATTGGAGGATTCGTACTATTTTCGTGTCACCCTTCCTGGAGTATCACAGGATAAAAGTAAGTTTTCTCAAGGTTAATTACTCTGCAAGTAATCGATTATGACATGGGATGCTTGAAATGAACCTAATCTCTTCGTCAATTCTGTCCATTAGAAAAGCTTCAATCATCTTATTCGTCTATCTATCCGTTTCGTGTTGTTACCGGGAACAATATATCTGAAAAGTGTTAATCAAAGGGATATCAACCACTGGTGAGAAAGTAGTCCAAATGGGCTCTATGACCTTCAATATGGTGGCACAAAATCTCTGCCCGCCAGGAGACTTCACCGTTTCGTTCGAGCTACCAGGTCCTGTCATTCCCGAAGAAGTTACGAGTCATTTAGCCGATGGAATGCTTGAAGCCATTGTGAAGAAAAGGTATTTGAGAAGGCTCAGAGAGCAATGGTAATGGCTATTTCTTTTTAGTACATTCAATGTGGTAAAAACTATACCATAGACTTTTGAGCATGAGTTTCGAAAATGTGTAACACCCCAACATGAAAACTTTGGTGTTTAATAAGTATTTCTTTTCTCTAAAGTCTCGATGTTTTGTAGTCGTATTAATCTCGATTATATTTGGATAAACTATACAAATGATTTCGTATATTTTCATATATTTTTGGTCATCCGATTTTAGTCACCGGTTAAAAAATAAGAGTAATTGTGATCCGTTATGCTTCAAGTCGTTCGATTTTACTCCTATTAATCCATTAATATAAGGGATCAAAATCACTCTTTTTTTAAGCCAATGACCAAAATCGAATGATAAAAAATATAAGAGACCACTCGTATAGTTTACCTATCTTATTTGATCGACCCCAAAATTTTATTTGAAAGAAGGATTAATTATAAAATAAGTGTTCAAATTATAGCGTTTTTCATGAATAGATGTTTAAACTATTTTTTAAATGATTCCGGTGCCTAACATTACAAACGTAACCACTTTAGGTGATCGGGTAACATTAATTTCCTCCGTTAAGTAACATGTGTCATATTATGATAATTTCAAAAAAAAATTAAAATTGAAAAAAATAAAAGTATATTAAAAAACACAATCCCAAAATTTTGAAAACGTTGTTTGAACTCCTAAACTCACATCGATCGCCGCCCTTTGTCGTCGATAAAGCTCCACCCGATCGCACAATCGTAGACTTTTTGTTTTGGATGATCGTTTGACTTTTATCTTTTGAGAAAACTAAGTATTTGGGAAAACGAAGCTCTACCCCAATTCAAAGATCGGATTTGTTTTTGGGGTGTATGCATTTCCTTGGTTGCACGCCTCTATCGTAGGGTATATATGCTGCCTCGGGCTTTTCTTATTAACTATAATTGTCTTCTCAAGTATCTAGTTTCTGATGTATTGATGCAATGAGCCAGGTTAAAGCCAGCTAAGGTTGTTGTTTCTTCCAAGCTTCCGGTGGGTGCAGGTCTGGGTTCATCGGCTGCTTATTGTTTTGCACTTTCAGCAGCTCTATTAGCACTTTCAGCAGCGATGTCTAGAGCACGGCGAGCCTTTTTTTAATATTAATAAAATACGTTATGTAGCATTTTTAATGAGTTAACGATCAAATTTAACGGTCCGTCACGACTTGACTCATTTTAAGTAACAAAATGAAATATTAGACCCTAAATTAAAAAAGCGAGCATAGATTGAACACCTTTTGTATACTTAAACCTTATATTTATCGTACTTTTACTATTTATTAGAGTTAATTGCATCATTATCTCTAAACTATAATCCTCATTTTAAATTGATCATTAAAATTTGGAATATTTCAATTTCATCCTCAAACTATAACTCTCATTTTTTAAAATTAGATCTTAAAATTTTTAAATATTCTAATTTCATCCCTAAATTACAATCTTATTTCTAAATTGGTCCCCAAACTTTTGAAACTTTCAATTTCATTCCTAAATTCATCCAAATATGTAATAAGTTTCAACCATAGTTTAACCTAAAGATTATTTTTTTTCAAACATATAATAGTATAACTTGACCTAACAATTTTATTAATAAGAACTGTGATTAGTATATATATATAGTTTGGGATAAAATTGAAATGTTCAAAAAATTTGTTGACTGAAGGTCATAGTGAGGATGAAATTGAAGTGCTCAAAGTTTGAGGGTAATTTAGAATAATAGTAATAGTTAAGGGATGAAATTGAAATATTTAAAAGTTTAAAGACCAATTTAAAATGAGAGTCATACTTTGAGGACATATGTTGCGTGATAAATTTGATGATTATTTTGGATATTCAGAAAGTTACGTGACTAAAAAGATTATTTCAGCATAGTTTAGTGACCTATGGGTGTACTTTACACAAAAGATATTTATATAGAAATAGCCGTTATAAACAGCTAAGTCAATCCAACGGCTCACGTGTCTCCATTTTGAGTCAAATAAGAAAGAAAAAACCCTACCTCCCATTTTCAAAATTTAAACTCAACGCATCGATTTAGCTCTCTCTCCTCAGTTTCTCATTTCTCAAAATATTCTCACTCTGAATATCTTTCAATCTCCCAAATTTTCTTCCTAAATCGTATAATTTTCCGTTGATTTTTTTTTCTTTTCTAATAATCGAGTTCTTGTTTTCTTTCTTTTTATTTCTCGTAATCAAATGGCTGAAATGGGCATGGAGAGTTCCGATCTAGTCGTTCTTGACAAAGGTTGCGATTTGATTTTCTCTCTCTTTTGCTTCAATTTTGTTTTATGTTTCTGATCTGTGAAAAACTGTGATGTTTTTATAGATCCAACGGTGGAGAATTGCGGATCAAAGCCTTCTCCGAACTCTCACACTGGTTAGCTCTTTTTCTTTATTTCTTTCTTTACTTCGGAGTCAAATTTTTAGTGAAGTGTTCTCTAAATCTGAAAGGAAAGTTAGCAGTTAGGATTATTTTTCACTTGTTCGATACCCTAGAAATTTCTTATTTGTGATCTTTCTTGTCTGGTTCAGAACTTAGAATAATGTTCTTTTTCTTTTGGTGCATTTGTATGTTCAAATTATCATATTTGGGAAAGATTATGTTATTTAAGTATTTTGAGTAATTTGATACTAATTTGAAGAATATTGGCTGGTTCTTTAGAACTTTTAGAAGAGCATACCGACTCCATAGATGAAGATACTATATCCAGCATGAACAAAGAAGTATCTCCAGCTCAGGGGCCAACTCTTCCGATATTACAGAAAGTTATTAAGTTGAGTAACAGTGTTCGGGTAAAATAGAGTACGCTATTGCTTTACATAAGCTTGATATATAATTTTTCCTTGTTTTTCATTAATGCTTCGAGGGATTGACTTTAATGTCACAGACTTTGAAGAACGAACATGAAATTCTGTCTAATCAAGTGAAATCTTTTCCTGGTCCTGATGTTGTGGGAACTCTTCAGCTTCTGAGTAAGTAATAGATTGAAGAAACGAAAGTATTGTGTCTCTGTGTTTTTATTTATTTTCATTTGAATTGATTTTTTGTTTTTTGTTTGGTATAGATAATGAATATGAACTTCTGAAGAAGAAATACCTAGACGAGTCATCAGAGAGGAAGCGCCTTTACAACGAAGTGATTGAGCTTAAAGGAAACATCAGAGTTTTCTGCAGATGTAGACCTCTAAACCAAGTTGAAATCTCGAATGGTTCCTCTTCTGTGGTTGAATTTGATTCGTCTCCGGATGCTGAGCTGCAAATAATTTCTTCTGATTCTTCCAAGAAACAATTCAAGTTTGATCATGTATTTAGGCCTGAGGATGGCCAAGGTGCCCCTAAGATCTCTTGATTGAGTTACATAACCTGAGATGTCTTCACCGAGGTTTACTGTAAATGTTTTTAATTCTCTGTTCATTTTATGCAGATATTGTATTTGCACGAACTAAACCCATAGTCACATCTGTGTTGGATGGCTATAATGTTTGCATATTTGCATACGGACAAATTGGAAGTGGGAAAACATTTACTATGGAGGGAACTCCGGAAAATAGGGGAGTTAATTACAAGACATTGGAGGAGCTGTTTCGAGTTGCTGGAGACAGAGGTGGTGTGATGAAATATGAATTGTTTGTCAGCTTGATGGAGGTCTACAACGAAAAGATAAGGGACCTTCTAGGAGAAAACTCCAAACAGCCTGCTAAAAGGTTTATTCCTAACATTGATTTGTGTATGGTTGGCTAATTATTAGAGTCTTGTTGCAAGACAGACACTTATGTGCAATCTATTTACTTTTATCTCCATAAAGAAAGAAATTCATTGGCATAAACTTTAGTAACTGTTCTTAGGCACGGGACAATATGCTGAGAATATAAAAAAAATCCATTATTATTGGAAGATAAAAAATAAAGCTCAGAATTTCCAACCATTCTCTGCTTAATGTCTTCCCTGAAGAAGATTTTAGAAACCCATATTTGGAGAGTTAATTCCAATGTTGAACTCCGACACTATGTTCATATAGGTTGGATATCAAGCAAGCGGCAGATGGAACACAAGAAGTTCCAGGAGTTGTTGAAGCTAGTGTTTACAATACAGAGGAAGTTTGGGAGCTGCTAAAGTCTGGAAACAAGGTCAGATCAGTTGGAGCTACCAACGCCAATGAAATGAGCAGTCGTTCTCACTGGTACTATCTTACTTTCTATTTGTTTGTTTCTGAATTATGTTTAAAAGGCTAGACCTTTTGTGATCCGATAAAAATGCTTTCGTTATTCAACAACTCTGGCCGAGAAATAGTGGTGCGTTAACTATAGTGACCAGAATTTTTCTCTTTGCTGCTTGTTACGTGTAACAGTAAGGGGAACAAATTTGATAAATGGCCAAAAGACTAGGAGTCACCTATGGCTGGTAGATTTGGCTGGCAGTGAGCGTGTTGGGAAGATTGAAGTCGAAGGTGAAAGATTGAAGGAATCCCAGTTCATAAATAAATCTCTTTCAGCGCTCGGTGATGTAATTTCCGCCCTGGCATCTAAAACGTCCCATATTCCTTACAGGTTTCTTCCTTTCCCTCTCTTTCCACCCTCGTTCTCGTTCACAAACAACACCTTTATTCTTTCTACTACTCCAAAACAGGAACTCAAAGCTCACACATATGTTACAGAGCTCTCTAGGTAAGCTCTTTTCTCATCATAGTATCAATGGAAGTTGATGCTCTTTAACTGAAGCTAATCTGGAAAGATTGGCCATGAAGGATCTGTATTCATGTTTTGTGGCCTAATGGCAAATCATGAAATGCAGGAGGAGATTGCAAGACCGTGATGTTTGTACAGATCAGCCCGTCTAGTGCCGACCTCGGGGAGACCCTCTGTTCACTGAATTTTGCTAGCCGAGTTAGGGGGATTGAAAGTGGGCCTGCCCGCAAACAGGTGGACCTTACTGAGCTCTACAAGTATAAGCAAATGGTATGGCAAATTGATGAGACTTGAAAATTCTCTCTTAACATTTGTGGTATATTCAATTTGTTTGATCTCTGGTTATTGTTTAATTAACAGGCAGAAAAGTTGAAACATGATGACCGGGAAACAAAGAAGTTGCAGGATAATGTGCAATCTTTGCAGCTGAGACTTTCTGCCAGAGAACATATATGCAAAAGTCTCCAAGAAAAGGTAATCATACATTAAACAAACCGAAGCGATTATCTCTGAGATGTAGGATAGGCTTTTCCGATTGTAAAACTTTTAGTAGCAGTCTAGATTCTGATGCTTCTCTTCGTGGTATTCGATGTCAGGTTCGTGATCTAGAGAATCAGCTAGCAGAGGAACGGAAGACCCGATTAAAGCAGGAAACCAGAGCTTTTGCTTCTTCTTCTGCTGCTGCTTCTACTAGACCACTTAGACAAGCAGCAGAGAAAAAACCACCACTCGGTCCATCGAAAGCGAGGTTACCACTGCGAAGAATCAGCAACTTCGTACCCCCAGCATCACCTTTGGCCACCATCAGAAAGAAACCTAGAATGTCAATGGTAGCATCATCAAACGACAAAGAAAACAACTCCGAAACCGCAATGGCAAACAGAAAAAACCTTTTGAAACCAAGACGTTCTTCCATTGCCATCAAACCTCCAACAGCCAATACTCAAGTCCTTCAGCCTAAAAGGCGAGTATCCATCGCTACCCTCCGGCCAGATTTGCACGCTACAACGCCACTCCACAGGCCAGCTTCCGGTGTCAACAATGGTACAATGGACAGACCATCATTAGCACGGGATGCTAGGAAGGCAAGATATTCAAGGTTGTTTTCTCCATTGCCAGAGTTTAGGAACCCATCAGAAACATCACCTACAGCCATGAGAAGCAGCAGCAAGTTCATGGGGAGCCCTACGGCCGCCGCGCATGCAGTAGGTTCATGGAAGCCGAGGCATCCGACCATTGTTGCTTTGCAACGGAAATCGTTGGTGTGGAGTCCACTCAAGTTAAAAGGTATTCAAAGTAGTTACAGGAAGTCGTCGTTTTTGCCTTGGCGACATTCTTCCGACATTCAACAGATTGATTACCAAAAGTGAACATGCTGTTCTTTCCTATATAGTCTTGTATTTAGTCTAGAATTTGGATTTACAAATTCTATTGAAACATGGTGTTGGTCATAGATTTTAGTTGCCTATCATAAACTTTAACCTGATTCAAATGGTTACATAGTCTACCGGCCAGATCGAAACTTGTTTTAAGGTTATCGCGATATTACAACTACATCCGCAATTTACAAATACACATACAATTATTTTTAGAAAACAAATCACATGATGAACTTAAGCTTTTAAAATTTCATAGAGGTGAATTTGAATTTACAAATACAATTTGGTTCGTGTTTAATTATTTTGTGCCGATAACCAGCAATTGATACATTTCATGTTCTTGTGTCGAATTCGTCTTAGTTTTAGCTAATCTTCCGTTCCGTGTTCATATATTCGTGTCTAAAAATATCGAATTCAAATCGTGTTCTAGTTACCAGAACATTGATTCATACATGTTTCCTTGGTCATATTTCACATTATATTAATGTCGTTTTCTTATACATTCGATCGCATTTGAGTTGCTTTACCGTTTCGTATTCGTATGACTGTATCCGCGTCAAAAATTATCGAATATCCAATTCTCGGTGCTGAATACTGTTTGTCGATGTAACATGCAGAGATGTAACATTGCAAGCTTGCATCCATGCTGTCCCCAAAACCTGCCTATTTACCCAGAAATACAGAAGTGTATGGGCAAAATTAAGACTCAATTATTAGCTTTGATGCCAACTTTTATATGACATTTCTTTATTTTTCATTTTTAATAATACCAACTTTAATTCAATTACTTTTTGCAGTTATTTTTTAAAAAATAGGGTAAGTTTCGTATTTAGTATCTAAACTATCAGTTTTTGTCCGTTTTAATACTTAAATTTTCAATTTTTTCAAAAGTATACCTAACGTTTAGTTTTTGTTTTATTTTAGTACTTCGTCGTGAAAATTTTAAACGACATTTTTAAATTACATCGTTTCTCACTCAACTATCTTCTCACTCCTATTTTGATATTGAAATTTAAAATTTTTTAATTTAACTACTCAACTTTCAAATTGTTCCTATTTTAATCATTCTAATTTATCTTATTAATAATATCTATGGCATGAATTTTTTATTATTTTATTAATATATAATTAAAAATAAAAAATAATTAAATTTTAAAGTTAAGAGTGATTAATGTAGGAGTAATTTTAAAGCTAAGTAATTAAATTAAACTTTAGTGACCAAAATAGAAATGAGAAGATAGTTGAGGATGAGTTATGTAATTTATTCATAAAAAGGTGTCACTTGCAAATTATCCGTTAAGCTTTTAACGGCGAGGTACTAAAAAGAAACAAAAACTAAACGTTAGGTGTGATTTTGAAGAAAAAAAATAAATACTAAAACAAATCAAAACTGATAGTTTAAGTAATAAATAAGTTATACTTGTAAACACTTAGAATGATTTTAAATTAAATATTAAATTTTTTAGTTTTATCAATCAAGTTACTTAATATTTTAACTGATAATAAATGAATTATTAATTGTTAATATTTTTTATACTTTATTTCAAAAAAAAAATTGGTGTGTTACCTCTTTAATAATAAATAATAAAGAAAATATAATTTTCTCTTCTTCCCAAAGAAAAAAAAAATATTTTTCTCCATTTTCTTATAAAGATATCTAATGATCATTTACATCATTTGTTTTATGAATTGGTTCAATTTAATTAAAATTACAAGTTCACCAATCAAAAGAGAATAATAAATTGAAGATTAAAATGATTTTTTATAGAAAGGATGAAGTATAGAAATGGTCTCCTTATTGGATGAAGATTTAGTTAGCCCTTCAATTATTAAAAAATTATAAAATAGTCTTTTGATTATAGAATATTGTTTTGTTAAGTCTCTCAACCATTAAAAGTTACAAAATGATCTCCGACATTCATTATGTTTTAAACTCATTGTTTTCTTTTAAAAAAAATTGACGTCAGTTTGAGTGAACGTTAATATGTTGACAGTGATATGATAAAATCTGATCCCAGAATCTTAAACGAATAACATATCTCAGTCATCATGCTAATGTTCAGTTTAGACGATAGTCAATTTTTTAACGGAAAAAGACGAGACTGGAACATAATGAATAGTTGGATGATCGTTTTGTAACTTTTAATGGTTGAGGGACACAACAAATCAACACTCTACGGTCAGATAACTATTTTATAACTTTTAATAGTTGAAAGACTTAATAAAATAATATCTTATAGTCATATAAACAAAGTAAAGTTATAATAAATTTATATTTTATTTTATTTTTAGGATTAAAATAATATAAGCTTTATTATAGGAATAAAATAAGTATATATATCCAAGAGGCTATTATAAGCACTTACTATTGCATCTTCAATTTTGTAAAAATAATTATAGATACAATTTTTTTTATAAAAAACCTGTAAAACCAATTATAATTTTAGTAATATAATTTTATGGACCCTGTAAATGAATATATGTATATACATGAATTTCCAACCAAATCTATTGATCCACCAGAAAAACACAGAGGAGAAGGATATCAAAAGGAGGAGGAGGAGAAGGAAATGACGACAATGGCGAGGACAAGCGCTGGCCTCGCGGCGGATCGATTCTATTCGGCGGCTGTTTACGCTGGATTCGACGGATCTTACAATTCCGACAACAACGAGATCAGTTCCAGGTTCTCAAACGATGTCGCTTTGATCCTCTACGCATTATACCAGCAGGTTCAATTTCACCATTCTCATTATCTCCCTTACATCTGTATTTCATTGGATCTGGTCTTCCTCCGATGCCACGCCGTTTTGCTTTTTGCTGATTTTCTCTTTGTATTAGTTGCATTTCCGCTAATGTGATGTTTTTTTTCCAGCTAAGATTTTCGTATTTTAGATTGTTTTGTATATGATTGTTACGTTTTACAATTCGTATGTTGAATTGTTCATCTCTTGGATAATCGAATAAGCATTTATTTGTTATTGAATTGGGAAGGTTATTTCGTTAGGTTGTTGATTTTCGGCTTTGTTTTGTGATTTACAGTCTACTATAGGTCCTTGTAATGCTCCGAAACCAAGCTCGTGGAATCCTGTCGAACAGAGTAAATGGAAAAGGTCTGCAAATCTTCATTTGCTGTGAGTTTAATGTTTACCTTTATGGTGTTGTTGTTGTATGTAACGGGATAATCTCGTTATAATGTTTGATTTGGTATGCTTAATTATGGAGGGACGCTAGGGTGATAAAACTCGACTTGAAAAATCGATCTTTTTTATACAATTCGACTAAAAAAAATTCAATTTGAATTGATTCAACTTGTAATTATATTAACTCGATTCAACTAGAAATTTTTTCAAATTCGAGTCGAGTTATAAAATAGAACTCGAATAAATCAAAAAATTTAATAATTAGTGGATTGGTTTTATAGTTTGAGTTGAGTGACTCAATTCTATATGATATATGTATATATATCAAATATGAAGAAATATACATGAATTGTATATGGTTATAGAAAACCGTTTAAATTGGAATCAAATAGGATTGTAATATTACAAATATTTACAATTAAATTTAAACAGAAACTCGAACAACTCAACTCGAAAATTTTTTTAAATAAAGTTTGAGTTATAAAATATGACTCATTAACTCGAAATTTTTTTACTCGACTTAATCGAACGCTATCCCCTAACGGACATTGGATTTTATGTTGAGGAAACTTATAAAATTTTAGAGGGGAAAACTCATAAAATTTTAAGAGAATAGATTATCAATAGAAAATACAATATCTGTTATGTGAGGATTTGAAATTTTCAGAGGATGAATTCTCCCGCCGGTCTTTTGGTCCATCCCTGTGCTTCGGGTTGTAGCTTTTGCCCGTGTTACACTAGGATATTTTAGTTTGGAATGGTTATGCTTAGAGTGGTCGTGTTTTGTTCCATTTGCTCAAGAAAGGTATAATGATAGTAATGTTGATTCGGAGAGATGTGAATCAATAGTCAGTAGGTCATATGTTGTTTTTATGGTTTTTAGTTGGATCAATATTTTGTAACATTGTGGCACTGTGCTGCATAGTTTATATTTATCTGGTCTGGATTGGTCCAAGTTTCAGTCTGCCATATATGCATGCTTTTTTCTTTTTTAGGTATTTGTAGAACAAGAATTTGGCTGGTTCACAAACTTAATATATTTCAGACGGATGTTGTCCCCATATAACGTTTTTTCCCTTCTTCCATTTCATAATTGTTTTTCTCCTAAAGCTTTTTTTCTTTTAATTTATACAGCTGGCAGCAGCTTGGTAACATGACTACTACAGAAGCTATGCGTCTCTTTGTGAAAATATTGGAGGTACAAGCCAATAACATTTTCTGATTTTTTATGCATATATATCAGTTTAGTTTGATTTGTTGATTTTTTCTATTTTATTCCTTATTTTTTGATTTCTTGTTCAGGAAGAAGATCCAGGATGGTATTCAAGGGTTTCTAACTCTGTTTTGGAGCCTGTTGTAGATGTAAAAATGAATGTAAGATGTTTTCACTGTTTTTGTAGCATATGATTTTACTATTTCTCAGTGTCTGTTATCTTTACAGTTTTGGTTGGGTGACTTTACAGTTTTAATTGCATTTAACTCTGCTTCGTAGCTTGTTCTCAACTTTTGAAGAATTTTTACACCATAGTTTTTAAATATTTTAATTTGATTTTTAATTATTGTATGCTTAATTGTTCTTTTATCGGTACTTAGTATTGGAAGGAGAGAAGCTAAGCTGCTTAATAGGAGATACTTGTATTTGATAAGCTTGTTGGTCTATGTACTTACTTTTACCCACTGATATGCATGTCATAGCATTACTCAAATGTTGAGCGTATCACTGAGAATGAGAATTCTTTTGCCGAGGCAAAGAATGTTTCTGCTGAAAATGGTAGCCTGATAGAAACTCAGGACAAAGATGTTGTATCGGAAGGCCTTGGTTCGGTTGACATATATGATCTGTGGATTTCACCTCCAATAAGTGGCCAACGTCCCAAAGCTCGATATCAAGTATTGGCATATATATCATTTAAATATCAGTCTCCTCTTCTTTTCTTGCCTTTGCCCTCATCTAAGAGCATTTACATTTTTTTGCCAGCATGGAGCAGCAGTTGTGCAGGACAAGATGTATATATATGGTGGAAACCACAATGGCCGTTACCTCGATGACCTTCATGTAAATAAACCATTTACATCAGTATGCAATACACATGCTTCCTGACGTGTTGTGCGTGCATGCGTTTCCCTTATAAATATCCTAATAAAAGTTCAGTTTGGCCCATTGTTTTGGACCTGAAACAAAATCTTACTAAACTTTAATTCTCAGTTTCCAGGCCGTTACTGGAAAACTCGGGTCTAATCCTGTAGTCTTGATAACCTGGCTTCTTGTTTATACGCTCATGCATCAGTATAACTACACATGATAGCTTTCCTCCTAATATGAGGAGTGGTTCAGGTTCTAGATTTTCGAAGTTGGACTTGGTCTAAGGTTGATGCGAAGGTTGGACCTCAGTCAGAGAAATCACCATCTCCAAAAAACATAGCCCCGTGTGCTGGCCATTCATTGGTTAGTAGATAGCTGATGTTCTTTGTTCTTTTTCTTTTTTTTGGATAATTAAGCTTTTATTACCCAAAGAAGCAATGTCTGCTACAAAAAACACCGATCAGAAAAATTTACACTCTAATTACAAAAGAATGATCGGCTAATCGATACCCCAAGATATACAAAGATTGGAGTTTACATAATCAAGCCTATTTATCTTTTTCCCCCTTAGTTTAATTCCTACGAATTCTTTGACGTTGCTAAGGATTTCTTCTCGTGTCCTAGAGGTTCCTTTGAATATTCTTCGATTGCGTTCCTCCCACAAGCCATAAATGCTTGCACACCAAGCAAGTTTAAGAATAGTAGAGATAAGAGATTTTCCTTTCCATGTGTTGGAAGCCCAAGTTACCATATTCTCCCAAGAATCAATTGTCTTCTTTAGTCCATTTAGGAGAAGAATTTTCTGCCTCAAAAAAGAAGCATACGAGCAATCGAAGAACAAATGATTACAGTTTTCCATCATTTCATTACATAGGACACAAATTCCATTAGTTGAAATCCCCATATGAATGAGTCGGTCACGGGTAGGAAGTCGATCTAAAAGAGCCATCCATACAATCAAACTATGCTTGGGTAAATGGTGAGCAATTCTCTGATGGGAATGCGTACATCTTTTTAGAATCTGTTTTCTGAAACACTATACCTGCTGTTGTCTGTCTTACAACTATTGTTTAACTCTTTTTCTTCTTATCTCTTCCTTTCTTTCCCCTCAGATAGCATGGGAGAACAAGCTTCTTTCAATTGCCGGCCATATGAAAAATCCGTCTGAAACTATTCAGGGTACATGTTTCTGGCCTCTCATCGTAATTTCAGAAAGTTGAGGGTTTTATCATTTGTCTCTTCTTTTCTATTGATGACTTATTCTATTGTTCTGTATTCTTATGGCAGTGAAGGCATTTGATCTTGAAACAGGTACATGGTCAATCTTAAAGACCAATGGCAAAGCACCGGTATTTATATGTTCTTCCTCTTCACTACCCCCTTCCTCCTGTTTTTCAACTAAAAAATTTCTGCAAAGTAAAATTAGAAAACTATTGGTTTCATGATTCTTTTGAACAGCCTTTGGTTTTCTAATGTTTCTAAAATAGTCCCAGACCGCCTGTGGGCTTGATCTTCCTTGCTTAATTGTCTTTACGAAACTGAAAACTGAATCCGTACTAATGTTGATTGCCTGACAATATTTAGCTGAAAGTTTTCGAACCGTATTAATATACTTGGATAAAGGCTGGAGCCAAACATGTAAAAGGAAAAATGTCAGCTGCACTTGTGCTTGTATACGCCTCTCCCCTCGATATTTTCCCATTTTCTTAAGAGTTTTTTTATCAAATTCTTTTGCCAATATATTATGGCTTTTCCTAAGTTGTATGAGTTCCTTGCAGATCTCTCGTGGAGGTCAATCTGTGACCCTTGTTGGAACCACCTTGGTTATATTCGGTGGACAGGATGCAAACCAAACGCTCTTGAATGATCTATATATACTTGACCTAGAAACCATGACCTGGGATGAAATTGATGCTGCGTAAGATTGTTTTTAGCAATTTTATTCCTGAATTGTCCCTCCACACAGACATTAATTGATGTCTAAACTTTTTTGTTAAATATGTTCTACCGGCTCCTCTGTAGTCATTAACAATGAGATTGTAATTGAAATGATATTTTCTGCTTCCAAAATCTCAACAGCTGCCATTTAACTAGTATCTTGTTGCATAGCACTAGCTACCTAATCTGCTTAAGGTTCAAATATCGTACCAGCTAAGAGTCTTCTGTTTGAATTTCAATCTGATTCATAAGATTAACTTGTGATCAAAATCAATTTTTAATTAGGTTAACTTCATTTCTGTTAAGTACTTTATTTTAAATTTCGTAAGAATGCTACATTAAGCTTATTCTGAAGTGGTGATCCAAAATTACTGCTCATGCTTGAATTCCGGCTATTTGTTTTTGATAAATTAGCATTGGCCACCAATATAGCTTGGAAGAGTGTCATTTGAAATTTATATTCCTTAGTCACTCCTAATATTTGTTTGCCTTCATTGTCACACAGTGGGGTACCTCCATCACCAAGATCCGATCATGCTGTGGCAGTAAACGCAGAGCGCTACCTTTTCGTTTTTGGCGGGAGTTCAAATGCTACTTTCTTCAATGATTTGCATGTCCTTGACTTGCAAAGTGTAAGATAATTGCACTTTTTGTTTTTTTCTTTTCTCATTTGCTTGTCCGGGGAAATAATATCTGTATTCGTTTATGAATTTGGATTATTTAGATGGAATGGTCAAAACCGGCACAACAGGGTGTGTTACCAACACCTAGAGCTGGTCATGCGTGTGTGACTGTTGGGGAGAACTGGTTTATTGCTGGTGGTGGAGACAATCAAAGCGGTAAATATCTAAACGCTTAGTTTTAGTGTTATTATACTGTCAGCATTCTATATGTAGATACGAAAAAGCTTGACGGGATCCGTTGATTGTGTGAAGAAACTTGTATCACTACTTACTCTGTTGTTTGTGCTGTTCTCTTCTTGCAGGAGCGTCAGAAACTATAGCCCTTAACATGTCTTCGCTTGTTTGGTCCGTTGTGACATCAGTTCAAGGATCTGTTCCTCTTGCCAGTGAGGTATTTCACATTTTTACAAATGATTGTTGACTCAAAATGCAATGCACGTGGAAAATTATCCCTTTAGTCACTTAGAAATCATACAATTATAATTAGTTCAATGAAAAAAAATTGCACTTTAGTCCCTCCAAAAAACTTTAAATTCCTTCTGGTTCCTCTAAAATAGATCCCAGCCTTACCCCAGATGGAAATAGTTGGAACTTTTGGACATTGCACTTCTCTGCAAGAGGAATGCTAATATTTTATTCTACTGTTTGGACATTTTACTTCGTTGTGGCATATTGGTCGATAAAATTACAATATGATTTGCCTCTTATTTTAGGGGTTGAGTCTGGTTGTTGGCTCCTTCAACGGTGAGGATATACTCGTATCGTTTGGAGGATATAACGGTCGCTACAACAGTGAGGTAGAGGCACTTTTGGCCTCTTTTTTACGACTTCCTTGATCTTTTTGTTTCTATTTTGAGTTTTTATGTTTTGATTCCAGGTTAATGTTCTCAAGCCAAGTCGCAAGTGGACCTTACAATCGAATATAACGGTGGTTCCTGTCCATGAAAGTGCTTCTGCCGTGCGTAACGCTGCGAATCCTACCAGAGATCCACAGTCTGAGTTTGAAACTGGTCAAGACAGAAAAGTACGAGAAATCGTCATGGATAACATAGACTCAAAGCCCACAGTACGTACTATTTTGCTTGTGCATTCAGCATTCAAAGCCGATTAAGTTCATTAGACATCTGCTGATTGAAATCTTCACATACATCATTCATAACATTCAGAAGTAGCATCCGAAAATGGTTTTCGATCTCTGCAAAACTTCTATCAAGTCTCATAGTTTAAGTTCACCTGCAGAAATCCGAACGCGAGAAGACTAACGAGCTCATTATAGCGACACTCAAGGCCGAAAAGGAAGAACTGGAATCATCACTCAACGAGGAGAAGTTACAGTCTCTCCAGCTAAAGCAACAACTAAGGGAAGTCGAAACTCGAAACCTGGAATTATACAAGGTACTAATGTCTTGATCTACGATGTCATTGGCATGCATTTGCTTCGACATTTTGTTCTCACTAAATCACATTTACATCTTAGGAGCTCCAATCCGTACGTGCTCAACTCGCTGCCGAGCAGTCAAGATGCTTCAAATTAGAGGTATGATCAAATCAAGAGAACAATTACAATCTTATTAATTATAGCGTAAAATATACAAATAATCTCTCAACTATAGGATATTTTTTTTAGTCCCCCAACTATTATAAGTTACAAAATGGTCCCTTCGATTATAGGGTGTTGAGTCATTCGACTATCAAAAGTTACATAATGATCATCCGACAATTCATTATGTTTTAAATTCGTTATTTTCCGTTAAAAATTAACAATAGTCTAAGGTAAATGTTAATCTCTGTTTGAGATATGATAAAATCTGATTTTAGAATCTCAAACGATTATTATATCTCAAACAACAAATTAACATTCAGCCAATTTGCCGTTAATCTTTTAACGGAAAAGGACTAATTTGATACATAATTAATAGTTAGGTGATCATTCTAAAACTTTTAATAGTTGAAGAACTTAATAAAATAATATCTTATAATTTAAAGACCATTTTATAACTTTTAATAGTCGAGAGACTTAATAAACCAGTGTTCTATAAAAACCATTTTGTAACTTTTAAAAACAGCCATTCTCCGACGTGCACGGCTAGTGTACCTGCAAAATACAATAACTCCGCTCATTTGAAAAAAGCCTGCAATTGTCTTTTAATAACACTCGAATCAACAGGTCGACGTTGCGGAGCTCCGACAGAAGCTTCAGACGATGGAAACAATAGAGAAAGAATTCGAACTCCTGCAAAGACAGAAAGCCACATCCGAACAAGCTACCTTAAATGCAAAGCAGAGGCAGGGCTCGGGTGGCGTTTGGGGTTGGCTCGCCGGTAACCCAGAGGAATATACCGCCGTCGACGACAACGCCTGATAATACATGGGAAAATACTAACTAAATACTTGATCTCTTGATTTTTTTTTTCCTTCTCATTAATCGATTTTTTTGGTCAAAAATTATTTTCTCTATTTACCCTATTCTTTATGTGATGGGAATAAGATGTCTAATTAGTTTTTGTTGTTTCACATGTTTGTCAACTTTTGTACTTATTTCTTTTACTTACAATTTATGAGGTTTGTTTGTTTCTTGAAGAATATATCTCGAAAAACATATTTGGATTTTAAAAAGTTTTTTACCCAAAGAGGAGAGATTGTACACATAATAATACAATTTCCTACATTAATAATTGAAATTAGTTTTTTTTTGTTTTTATAAAAAGTTTAGTTCATGAGTAGTCTAGGATCACGGCATACATAAATTGGATCCAATTGTATTTATATAAGAATTTATAGATTGCTCGTTAAGAGTAACAAAGGTATGATTCGAATTTGACCTTATAAACTTAAATTCTTGAATCTCCACCACTTGTGTCAACACTAGTTGACGTAATTAATTTTATTAAATAAAAATGAAAATCTAAATTGTATGAAGAATATATAAAAATAAGTGTAAATTGATCATCTAAGTTGGATATTTTTTTTATAAAATCATTAGGATGTACATATTGTCACTTAAGGATAATAAAAATCATACCAAAAATGGTTAAAAATTCAATCAAATGACTTGTATGAATAATAGATACAAACAAACATAATTGTAACGATATAAAGGGTAAATATCATCAACGCTAATATAAAAATATATATAACAATGATGATTTGACAAGCTAGTGTTATCACAACTCAATCTCGACCTATATCCTGTAATTGTGGAAGCATATCAATATTGAGGCTGATTATCTAAAATAAATAGATTAACATGATAATCAAATAGATATTATATGAATCTGTAAAGTTGACATTTAATTTAATTTTTTTGATAAAAAGGACTTATGTACTACAAAAACATGAAAAACATGTTATAAAAATAAATAAAATCATTCGTTAATTTTATATAATTTTTTTTGTACGAAGAAAATAATAATCACATGATAAATAATATTAATGTGACTTTTTAATTGTTAAATTTTATGTCGTGTGTTTCATAGATGTGGTACTTAAGGTGACTTTAACTCTATATCGGAAAAGGAAAAATAGATTTTAATAATTGTGAAGTTACACATTTTATTAGATATGTAAATTAGAAACAATAATAAATCCATTAAATTAAATTATAAAATAAAAAAATATCTAAAATCAAGACATCTCGTCCATAATGAAAAAAATAATATAATAAAAATATTAATAAAATGTTTAAATTTTATTATTTACATGAATCGAGTAACTTTTATGGTAAAAGAATTATTGTTGTTCTTTAAAAATATGAGTTCGGGCACTATAAATATTAAAGATAATGTGGTTAATAATATGATAGATGAATTAAATTAATAATTCAAACACGATACGATTATCACATCAACATCATAACAGGTGAACGATGAAAAATATTAGTGAAACGATCACATTAGTATTTGCGTAGAATTAAAAGTCCCCATATCATACCATGAATCAAATTCTAATTTTCACTTTCCTCCTCGAACTCTTTCACTCGAGCATCGTCTATATATAAACATAGAAGCTTTGATCATCAATCCAATTTCAATTTCTGATACCTTTTAATCCATTCGTTCTTCTTTTGATTTTATTGATGAATGATATCATGGAGACTAGGATTTTAGAAGTCAATGTTGTATCCGCCGAGGTTTTCGATGACGTTAATGTTTTCAGTCAGACGACGGATGCATACGTCGTCGTTCTCATCAACGGTGATCATCGTTCGTCGGAGAGAACTCCGATCGGCAGAGTCCGTGGTTCGGGTTGCTATTGGAATCACACCATGAAATTCATCGGCGAAACCGCCGTCCGCAGCCTCGTATTCCATCTAAATTCCGAACGTCGACCAGAGGACGAAGGCATCGCCGCGGTCGAAATCCCCTTCGACGAGGAATTGTTTCATGGCTACGACGAAAACGTGACGGTAGCTCACCCGTTCGTCGCCGGTTTCCGTAACGGAGAGATCGAAGGTGTTTTGAATTTCACTTGTACGTTTAGAGACGGTTATTGGAAGCCATTGCGCTCGCCGGTAATCATGTATCCTCCGACGACTTATCATATGTCTGCAATGGCGTATCCGTTGCCATATCCATGGTGGAGCTTCGGGTATCCGTGTCTACCTCCGTGTTGCGGCGGATATCCGGCGTATGAATACAGGCAGCCACCTTTTCAAGGATATGGATATGGATATGGATATGGATATGGATATGAGTTTTATGGGGTTGATCATGATGATGAAGAAGATGATGCTGAAGAAGATTATGAAGATGATGTTGAACAGGATGATGAAGATTATTATGATGGTTTGATTTGATTATTTTGTTTTGAATTTTAATTGTTATTTTTATTAAATATGTTCATTAATCATTAGCGGTACTGCGATTTGTTTTATTTTGATTCACGAGTATTAATTTATAATTCAAATTTTATTTAAAGATTTTTGAGTCAAATATTTGAAATATTATGATCTAATTGATTGTTTTGAACAACTTTCTATAATATATATATAAAAGATAAATTACACAAATGATCACTTAACAACAAATGTAAATAAACAGAATGTTTGATGAATTATTCGTGAATTGTTAGTATAGTATTCGTTTGTAAAATAAATTAAACGAGTATGAATAAAAAAATTTATGTTAATTTAATAAATGAATGAACATTAAAAGTGGCGTGTTCAATATGTTTATGTTAACTAATAAGCTCGTTTATGAGCTTATTCATATGGGGTCATGAACAAGTTTGTTTACTCGACTTTTTTTATGGTTTAGATATTGGCGAATGTAGTGATTAAATTAAATACATGGTAAAAGTTGAAATTTAAATTGTGAATTTAAAGAGTTTAAGTACTAGTGATATAATTTTACCATTTTCTTTAGCTTTGCAAATTAAAAGGTAAGACTAAAAATTGAACATATAAACTAACGATAAATGAATGCTAAACGAATATGTTCGTGAACGTTAAATGAACACGTTCATGAACATATAAAAAACATTCACGAACATTAAACAAATATGTTCACGAATAATAAATAAACGAACATGAGCACATTCAAAAATAAATAAAAGAACACGAACACAATATTAAAAATTTAAACGAACACGAACCGAATATGAACACCTTAAAAAATAAACAAACGAACATGAAAATAACCATGTTCGTTCAAGCTCGATTCATTTACACCCCTACAATTAATTTTAGAGTTGATGTCGATATGACCATCATACTTTCAATTTTATCAATATGACCACATAACTATTTAAATGGTTTCAATCAAGTGCCGTTAACATTTAACGGAAGTGCTAACATGGTAGTTAATAAAATTGACATAATTATACATTTAGTCCTTAGTATTTACATATTCTATCAATTTAGTCATAATGAATTGATAGAATATGTAAGTACTAAGGACTAAATGTATAATTATGTCACTTTTGTTAACTACCACGTCAGTACTTTCGTTAAATGTTAACAACAGGTGACTTGATTGAAACCACTTAAATACTTATATGGCCATATTGACAAAATTGAAAATATAGTGGCCATATCGACACAATCCCATAGTTAAGTGGTCATTTGAGTAGTTTACTCATTTTTATATGTGGTATACATATATCATGCAGAGTTGAGGGCTTAAACTTAAAAATTAATATATTAATTATTAAAATTTCAACTTATTTGAATCTTATTTTATAACTCAACTTAAATTTAAAGTTCTTTTGAGTCGAGTTGAGGATTTTTTTATAAATATAATAATTTTTTTAATTTTTTAAAAAATTAAAATTATCAAAATGTGACGCATGTTACTTAAGAAGAAAATTAACGACAGATACGATCTGAGCATCTAAAGTGGTAATGTTTGTAACGTTAGACACCTGAATCAATTAAATAAAAGTTTGGACACTTATTTGTGAAATAGGATATAGTTTGAGTACTTATTTTGTAATTAAGACAAAATAGTTTGAGAGACGCGGAGAACAAATTCTAGAAACCACTTTACCACTTAAAAACCTCTTTCATGGCGGTTTCCATCCACCACCGTAACGTTCTTTCCACATTTTCTCTCCTATATAAACAAACCCTTTTTCGTTTTTTTTGTTCATCAATCCAATTTCAATTCGCAATAAGCTTTAAATTCCTTCACTTTCCTTTTGATTTTCCGAGAAAACGGTTTCATGGAGTTTCGACCATTAGAAGTCAATGTCATATCCGCAAAAGATCTCAAAGACGTCAATCTTTTCACCAAGATGGACGTGTACGTCGTCGTTTCGATCAACGGCGATCACCGTTCGGCGCAAAGGATTCCGTCGACAAGGGCAGTGGATCGAACCCGGAATGGAATTGCTCTTTGAAGTTCACCGTCGACGAAGCCGCCGTTCTCCGAAACGGGCTCAGCCTCGTGTTTCATCTCAGATCGGAACGTAAGCTCGGAGATAGAGATATCGGCACGGTTCAAGTTCCGGTTAAGGAGTTGCTTGATGAAGATGACGGAAACGGGAAGGTTAAACGGAACTTGAATTACGCCGTCAGGTTGCCTAACGGAAAAGCTAAAGGTGTGTTGAATTTCGCTTACAAGTTCGGCGAGAAGTTCATCGCACAGCTTCCGGTTACGGCGGAGAAGCCGGCTATGGCGTATCCACCGCCTGCAACTGGTTACCAAGGGCCGAGTTGGGGATCAATGGAGAAGCCGGCAATGGCGTATCCGCCGCCTGCAACTAGTTATCCTCCACCTCTTGGAGCGTATCCGCCGCCTGCAACTACTTATCCTCCACCTCTTGGAGCGTATCCGCCGTATGGATACCAACAGGCACCGGTTCAAGGGTATGGATATCCGGGACACGGTGGTTATTACGGATACCCTGCGGTGCAAAAACAGCAGAAGCCGATGAAGGGCGGCGGCATGGGAGCGGGGTTGGGATTGGGCTTGGCCGGTGGATTGTTGGGCGGAATGTTGATCAGTGATATGGTCGGAGATGCTTATGAAGCTGGTGTCGAAGATGGGCTTGACTTTGATTTTTAATTTAATGTTTTCTCTAATTGTCTTGAGTTATTATATTTGGTATAGGATAATCTGTAATTATACATAATTAATTAAATATACATATATATACGTGTTGTTATATTTTGATTATCGTTGCATTTAACTCTATTTTATTTCTCAAATTTGGGTTTTAAAAATTAAAATTATTTTATAATTAATCTTACTTTTTATAATGTAAAAACCTATTGTTAACTAATTATATGTTTATATATTGATCATTGTATTTCATTGAGGGATCATTGAATTGTATAGTTAATCGAAACCTTTAATAATAATATATTGTTATCGAAATTGAGAATTTAGATATTAAAAAATTGAGAATAGTTTAAATATTAAATGTATAATTTATTCTTAAGTTTAACTTTTTTTGATTTAATTGAGTATGAATTTATTCTATGGAAAAAGTATACAAATATCCCCTAACTAGAGAACGATGTTTTATTAAATTATCTGACAATTAAAAGTTAATAAATGATATTTTAATTATAAGATGTTACTTTTTCTAGTCATTCGATTATTAAAAATTGTAAAACAGTTATTCGATTATCTTATATATTTTAAACTCGTTATTTTTTGTTGAAAAATTTAACGGTAGTTTAAGTTGGACATTAACATGTTTGACTATAATATAATAGTTGTTTAAGATTATAAAATCAAATTTTATCGTATATCAGTTAGCAGATTAAAGTCCAACTCAAATTATCATCAATTTTTTAATAATAAAAGACAAATTTGGAACGTATAAAATAATCGGGGTAACCGTTTTGTAATTTTTATAATCGAGAGATTTAAAATAAAATAAAATCCTATAATCACAATACTATTTTATAACTTTTAATATTCGACAAACTTAATAAAATATCATCTTATGATAATTTGTACCTTTATTCTATTTTCATTTATAAAATGATCACCTTTAATTTAATACCGTTCACTATAAAGAAGGAATCAAAGCACAAAAACTAGATCATTATGAATCTTAATTTGATGTAAATATTCTGCCTGTCTATTTTTTTTTTGGATAAATAAGATTTTTATTATCAAAAGGAAGCAGAAACTGCTACAAAAGAACTAATTCAATCAATGGAAACAAGATCAAGGGAAAACTATGAACAACAAAATCAGACTATACCCCAATTGTTACATAAATCTAAATTAGCGCTATCTAATCTATTAATGTTTCTGCTACTTAGTGAGTACTAATTATGTGTTTGATTACAAGAAGAACTTCCTCCTCGGTTCTATAAGTACCTCTAAAAAGTCGATGATTTCTTTTCTCCCAAATTGTATAGTTGAAAGCACACCAAGAGAGCTTTAAAATGCTGGTAATAAGCGATTTTTCTTTCCAAGTTGCAGACGCCCAGATCAACAAGTTCGTGATAAAAGAGAATGATATTCTTATTAGAGGATTCATGTTCAATAAATTATATTTATAGTGTGTGTAAGGTTAGCAATAATTTAAAATGATTTTAAACGTATACGGTTGTTTTATCCACTTCACATTATTAAAAAAAATTAAACTCTGATATAATAATTATTAATACATCCGGCACATGTAATGTTTAACATTTAATTTTAGACCCTCAAATCAATTCTTTTATAACAATTTAATCTTATCAATAAAAATATATTAAGATTTAATTATAATAAAATTATTTCATTAACACAATATCATTATTATATATATATATATATATATATATTGATAGTATTTATCTATCATTAATATTAGTGTTTCGAAATAAACATCTTTCCAATATCAAGCTCACATTTTAACATTAATGAGATACAAATAATAGTAAGTTTTAGCAAGTGGGCAAGCAACAAACAAAGCCTATTAGAACTTGGGCTTGATAGGTACACCTTTCATGACAAAAATTAGCCCAATAGGTTATCAAGAGGGAAATTAAATCGACCTATTAGGCCATCTAAAATTTAATTTGAGATCTATGACATTTATTATTGTAACTTAGAACCCGTCACGTCAATATGACTAATTTTAATAAAATATATTTTTTATTGAAACTTATCAAATCAATGTGCTAAATTCTAATAAAAATTTATATTTTATTGAAATTCATCACGTCGATGTGATGAGTTTGAATAAAAAATATTATTTGGACAAACCTGTCATATGGGCGTGACGATTTTTCCATACACTGTAACATTTCTTGTAGATCTCAATTTAATTTTAGAAATAACCTAATGGATTACTTTTTCCATAAATTTTTAATCTTACACATATAACACTAAATTTCAAACTCTAATT